ATACAAAATAAAAACATTTTCAAAGAAGCAAAAACTTCAGAAAGTACCTCACAGGTATTAAGCCACAATAAATATCCCTAGCACATGAAAGGCGCTTGCCAATCAACAAGAAAGACATCTCCTTCCAGTACGTTCCCCTACTATTCACGCATCATGGGCCCAGCTCTCAGAACTCCTGGTACCCGCCCCCACCTGTACTCCAGCACAGACTAGAGTTTGGAGCTCCACACTGTCCACCGCCATCGAGCCCTTAGCTGATCTCAGCATTTCAAAGGCCTCAGCACAGATGGAAACTTTTCCGCTTAGCGTCATCCCCTATCCAGGAGGCAGAAAGCCGTGCCAGACCCCACCTGTCCTCCATCGTCCTCATCACAACCACGAGACCTGAGCTTTCGGCCAGGCTGCACTTGGCTCCTTCTCTGCCTCTGAAGCTGCCTCTGGGCCCACCAGGATCATGTGACCTTGTCACCACACACCCAGCCTCATGACATTCAAATGCATTCTCTCACGTTGTCTCTAGATCCTCAGTGATGTAGCCCCTGCCTCTGCATGGGGCCACCCCTCACCTCTCCTAGACATAGGCAGTCCTACAGCCGCACTAAGCTACGCTGTTCCTAAGATGCACCACGCTCCCTCTTGGCCCCATGGCTTTGCGAGGCTTCAGCTGGACCAGCCTGCCTCTGACTTCTTCACCATCCAGCTCAAGCCCCCCTCTTCCACGACCCCTGTCCTACACCACCAGGCTAGGTGGGGTGTTGTCACCCCCTGGCACCCAGGGCACCCTCCATCAGAGCTCCATCAGATGGCTATTTAGCTAGAGAATTATGCAAGGGCAGGACTGCCCTTCACTTTCACACTCCTGCCCCCATTCCTGGCAGTGGGAGGTGACAAATGGTAAGCCCATGATCGCGGAATGCCTGCCTCATGATATCCTTTTACAGTGTTGCAGGTCAGGAGGCTGTGCGCCTGGGCTTTCAAAGCCTGGTGAGTCTCCTGGAAGCCAAACTTCACACCCTGAAATGTGATGAAGTGAATGTGTGTCAGCACAGCCTCAACTCCTCTCTAAGGTGGGGGAGTTGCCCACCTGTGTATCTTGATGGAAAAGCAGTGTGCACAGACTGCCTCCCGTTATGGGGAATGAAATTGCCAGACGCTGGCGTCTCCAGCTTCCCACCCGCTCACAGTCACTCACGTTGGCTTTGACACGAGGGCTCGTGATGCAAGCTGAGACAGGCAGGTCTTTGTCTGGGGACAGTGGCAGACGCTGGCTTTCCGGAATCAACGTGCAAGGTGGTTGGGGGCATCTTCTCCAGCCTCCCTGCTCTGACCTAGTCAGATGCTCGACCACTCCCAACAGCAACATGAGGTGCTACATTCCTTTAACAAACCAAAGCCTGTTCTTCCCGACTCAGCCAGACGCAGCTTCTTTGCAACTGAGAACCTGAGTTATGCAATGGATGTCCTCTTGGAAGCCAAGAATTTTGATAGTGGTCAGTTACAAAACCGGTTAATACCACAGTTACAAACAAAGGGAGGGTGGTCCCAAAGGGACAAGCGTGGCTGAGTGACGTTTGTCTCAAAAAATGTCCGAAGGCAATTCTAGAAGAGGACAGCCACAGTGGACTTGGCAGTGTTGGTGCAAGAACCACCTCTTGCGATGCCCACCTGGGCAGAAGAACACTGAGTCGGACATACACTCAGGCTCTCTCACTAACAGTCCCACCTTGTTCCACGGACACACTCCCAGCAAGGAGCTCCTGGCTGTTCTTTACATCCACAGGCAAAGTGCAAGGTGGCCTTGTAAATGTGTCTACTGTAATATGTTCTCTCTCACTAACACAAGGTCATGTCCCTTCTGCTAGTGAGTTTTCCAGCACCTTTCTGTTCCTGTCTCCGAAGGGGGAGGGGTGTGATGCTCTAGGTGAAGTGATGACAAGGCAGGATTCTTGAAGCAGCTTTGGAGTTAGACCTGCCCAATACTGACTTCTGCATGAGTGGGTAAACTCTGCACTGTCCCAAATGCCCAGAGAATGTGCCCGCACACCCACCGGCCTTTTCTTGAACGTCTTAGCAGCAAAACAAGATTTCTGATCAATTTCCGTCCTCGCATTAATGTCATGAGCTGAGGTCGTGTGCGCCACACACACACACACACACACACACACACACACACACACACGCACGCACACACGCACGTGCATGCACTGCCTGGCAGCTGCTCTCCGGCCCCAGCTCTGGGAGGGGAGCAAAAGCCGGCTCTTACCTGCCTGCGCGGCTGTGATTAGGGCCGTGTTCCCCTCGCTGTCCTGCCAGTTGACGTCGACGTGGGGGCACTCTGCTAAGACCACCACAGTATCCACAAAGCCGTGGTAGCAGGCGACAATAAGGGCAGTCTAGAAATAGAGAGGAAAGCAGGTCAGAGGGCAGAGCCCAAGCACGGTCACTGCAGAGCCAGGGGCACCCACTGCCCCTGGGGTGAACAGAGGACCCCAAGTGCCCGGTCTCAGAGGCAACTTAGAACAAGCCAGCTGTCCGTTCATGCTTAAATGTTCATGGAGCGCTGATTACCAGTGAGGCGCTGTGCCTGGGAAAGACCAGGGAACCAAGACCCCTGCCCTCATGGGCTCGCCTCCTGCAAGGGGAGCATGGACTGCAGATCTGGCACGTAATAAGTGATGGTTACAAAGCAGACGGGGAAGGGGGGTGGCTGAGTGCAAGGCAACGTGGCTCGGTCTCACATAGGGTGCTGGGGTGGGCTCACAGAGGAGACAGTGGGAAGATGGTTAGGAGGTGAGGGACGAAGCCAAGAGGACATGGAGGGGAATGTCCAGGCAGAGGACATGTCTGGCCACCCAGGGACCAGGAGGAAGTCAGGGAAGCAATAGATCCTTGGAGGCCAGATGGTCTGGGCAGTCCGTTGCCAATTGTCTGTGTGACTCTTGCTGCTGCGTGGGAAACAGAGTCCAGGAGACCAGGACGGATGCAGGCAGACCAGTTAGGGGTGTTTGTCTGTCTGCTCCCACCAATAAGTATTCGGTGTTTGTCCCCAGTTCCTAGCACAGAACTCCTCAACCCTTGAAATGCACTGTTTTTATATGCTAACGAGGTGACTTAGGGGACTAGTCTCTAGAAAAACCTACCTAGTGATTCAAGGGTTAGATCTTCCAGCCCCACACCCTTCAACCCCCACCTCCGGGGAGGAGGAAGGGGCTAGAGATGGCGTTCAGGCAGCAACGGCCAATGATCTAATGGCCAGAGTGAATCACGCCCGCGGAGGGAAACCTCCGCAAAAACCCCTGAACGGCTTCTGGGTTGGTGAGCATGTCAGGACGCTGGGAAGGTGGTGTACCCAGAGAGGGCGTGAAACCTCTGAGCCCCTTCCCCATCGCTCGTCTTCTGCATCGCTTCCACTTGGCTCTTCCTGAGCTGCAGCCTTTATAATGATCCAGTAATAGTAAGTAAAGTGCTTCCCTAAGTTCTGTGAGTCACTCTAGCAAATTATCGAACCTGAGGTGGGGCTGTGGGAAGCCCCCAACTTTACAGCCGGTTGGTCAGAAGGTGGGCCCTGGGTTGAGACTGGCGCCTGAAGTGGGGGCAGTTTTGTGGGACCAAGCCCTTAACCTGGGGGCTGTGCTGACTCCGGGTAGTTAGAAGAACTGATGTGGGAAATGGCATGGATTTAGCGTCAGAAAGAAAGACACCACAGGGGACTCCTGCCGATGCCATGCAGGAGGTGATGACAGTCATCTGTAAACCAGGAAGCAGGCCCTCACCAGACCCCCACCCCCACCCATGCTGGCACCCTGATCTCAGACTTCCAGCCTCCACAAGTGGGAGAAGTAAATTTCTGTTGTTGGCAAGCTACGATTAGAGGCATTTTGTTATAGCTGCCTGACCTATAATAGACACCTTGTAACAAACGACAATAATCTAAAGCCCAGGTTCACATCCTCCGACACGTGGATTCCGTGAGGTGCTAAAATTCAACCAGGGGAAGACTCTCAGGACCAGAGGCGATGACCACGTGACTCGGCGCACTGCCGGCCACGCCCATGCTTCAGTTCAGAGCGGCTCCACCTGGCCCAGCCCTATTTTTACCAGATTTTTAATAAGAATGTAATTTTTCATGGAACAAGGAGATGGTATGGACAACCCCACCTGCTTAACTCAATAAGGTTCCTAGCTGCCTTCCCAAAGAGCATTAAATTATAAATATTAGAGTTTTTAAAGTTTTAGAGAATACCAACGGGTTTTTTTTTAACACTGTCAGCCACACCGCAGCAATGAACTCTACAATTTTGTGGCTGTAGTCAAGGCTCTTTAATATGCTCCAGTTTATGCATTCTTTGAAATAGGTCATTCCATCCATAGAGGGAACTGTCTCACAATATTTTAATTTTAAAGAGAAAAGGGCATGGAGTGAGCCCAAGCCGACTCTATTTATAAGCTGCTAAGGCTTTCAGTCTCTTCCATAACTAGAGCTCACTGCCCCCAGCATCACTTCAGTCTCCCCGCTAACCTGCTGCATAAATGGTCCGGAAAACTGGTGATTCCCACCTGGTAAGCACCAAAATCTCATTTTGAACTTTTTTGGATGGAAGTATTTCTCAAGTATTTTATAATTTCCTGACATACATAAGGCATGTCGAACACAACGTAAACTCTTCCTTTTTATGAAATTACACAAGAAGCTCATTATTTATTATAGAAAAAAATCTGAAAACAGAGAACAAATTACCAGCATACACAATCATACATACAGACATACACACACACACACACACACACACACACACACACACACAAACACACACACATATTTTCTTCAAGACTCAAAATAGGATTACTTGCTATAAGCTTCAGTGAGTAATATATCAGCAACATCTTTTCATGTCAATAAAAATACTTCTGCATTAATATTTCCAGGTGGACGGTTGTAATCTACATACACAGAATTATAGTTATTTAATGAACCTCTTGGGCTCTTGGTCACTGGAATTATTTCCCATTTTTCTCTATTATGAGTAAAACCTGCAATAAAAAAATCCCTAGACCTAAGGCTTTGTGCATATCACTCCTTATTTTCTCAGGAGACACTCTTAGAAATAGTATTTCTGGATTAAAAGAGCTATTTCAAAAGCCTTGAACACATATTGCAAACCTGCCCTTGAAAAACATCTCAAAGGGCATCCAACCTTTACTTAAAGACTGCAGGTTTTTAAAAAGGGAGAATTTCCACCAGCAGACAGTAGAGAACATTCTCCTGAAAAATCGGGCTCTTGACTCAGCCTCAGCTCTCTCTTTGGGGTTCACCCTTACCTCCACTCCCTGCTACCCCAACCCACCAAGGGCGTCTATTGTAGAACCACAACCCTTCCCGACCATCTACAGTAAGACCCCAAAATGTGCAGCAGGCCTGTATTGATAGTAGCCATGGAAATCTTAGCATAACCTTAAGTCAGAAACGAAGTAAGATTATCAGAAAATAAAATAAATAGATACTAAATTTGAGGGCTCAGGATAAAATGGTATCGAACCCAGAGCGGGAAACTTCTAGTCTTCCCACAGAGACTTACTATTAAACATCATCATCACTTTATGCCCTACCTTCTGGGGTCTGTTCCAAAACTCTGACTGGTTAAAACTAGTGTTTAGCTATAGTTTAAACTCTGTTTTAGCTGGAGTGTCTTGGTGCCCCCAACAGGAAGGTGGAAGGGGAGGTAACTTTGGCAACCCCTGACCATGGTCTCCAAAAAGACGGTAACAAAAGATTTGTCTTCTGAAAGAAAACCAATAAAATGCACCTAAGCCATCAAAAAAAAAAAAAGGACATACAAAGCTAAATATTGCAGATGGCTCCCTTGCAGAAGGAGCAAATAGTTTGTTTTTTAAATAATAAGCAAAACTTCATGAAAATAAAATAATATTTTTAAGAAAAAATAAGTAAGCTACCTACAAATGGAAGCTCCTATATGGAGGTCAGCTAGAAATCCTAGGCCCTCAAAACACAAGCCTAGGGCTGGCAGAGTGGCGCATTGGTTAAGAGCTGGCTTGGGACACCAGCTCTGCGCAGTAGGGCCCCGGTTCGGATCCCACATGAGGGCCAGTGACACTGCCCTCTACAGCTTAGATGGTGAACAACAGCTCGACCTGGAGCTGGGCTGCCGTGAGTTGCCGGCAACGGTGTGCGCTGCAGTGGGCTGCCATAAGCTACCGTGTGTGGCCAGCTGCCAGTGTGAGCGGCTGGCAGCCGGTGTGAGCTGCCAAGAGTCACTGTGAGCGGCCATCCAGGGGCCAGCAAAGGATCTGCCTCACCCAGGAAGAACACAATGATAATACCAACATGAGCCAGTGAAGCAACGTCCTCCACAACTAGACTGAAGAACAAAAGGACAGCAACTTGTCTGTTCCCATTCCCCAGTGCTGTTCCTCTCCCCCCAATTCCCCAATAAAATATTTTTAAAAACACACCAAAAAACCCACAAGCCTAATTTTCAAGTTCTACACATTATAGAAAAGTCAGAACAACAACAAAATAAGTTGAGATGTTTCTGCTTAAAGATTGTAAGGGTTTGCCTTCCTGAAACAAAATGCTTGTATTAACCCGTTGATTCCACTGGGACAGATTTTTCTCCCACCTGCACTCTTTTTCTGTATGAATAACAAAATCACCATAGATTTTTTTTCTTTGAGAACTATCAGCCTACAGTTCTAACCCAATGTTATTAAATTTCCAATGTGAATTTACTTATACTGTATTTAAAGTCATTTATTAAATTTTAAAATGGAAAAAAAACAATTGTAAGGGCTTGTACATCAAAAAATAAACCAAAACACCTTTCCTTGCAAGAAGGATGAGATAACACCAAGATTCTAATAACATCACTTATTATATTAACGGATTAAAGGGATGTGGGGGGAGGAAAAAAGGTGATCATCATCTAAGTGGGTTAAAGCTCTCAACACACACACATACAGAGAGAGAGAGAGAGAGAGAGAGAGAGAGAGAGAGAAAATGCACAGAAAACATCTAGAATGATTACACCAAAATATTAAGAGTAATAACCTCTGCAGATGAGTGGGAACAGGAGGTGTGTGAAGGTTAACTTTACGTGTCTTAATTTTACGTGTATCCAGATATTTGGTCAAACGTTATTCTAAATGGTTTTGTGAGGGTGTTTTTTAGATAAGATGAACATTTACATCAGTAGATGCTGAGTAAAGCAGGTTGTTCTCCAAGATGTGGGTGAGCCACATCCAACCAGCTAAAGACCTGAATCGATTAAAGACTGACCTCTGCTGAGCAAGAACTAATTCTGTCTTTGGACTTGAACTACAGCTCCTCCCCAGGTCTCCATGCCAGCCTACCCTGAAGAATTTGGACTTGCCAAGC